TTTGGAATATTAAATGTTGCTGATACAAAAATAGTCTGTAGTCAACCATGTAAGGATTCCAATTGTAAATGAAGAAGCTTTTTTTCTCACTGTTTCTCTAAGGACTGTTCAACAGCATTCTCTGATGCCTGACTGGGGTGGTGCTGGAGGTTGGACTGAGGCGGGGGAAGGGCTTAATCGGGTAATGTCTGAGGTGGGGCAGATGGAGATGGAGGAGCAGGAGTCCCACACAGTGCCACTGTGAGGGGGTGGGACTAAGAAATGGGTCGAGCACTGTTTCCACAGACAGGGGTTCTGAGGGGATCCACTCCTCCCAAGCAGGGCTCTCTGAGGCAGCCTGGATGGGATCCTGAGGAGAAGGAGGGCACCTGAGGACAGGGTGAGGACACCTTCACCTCACAGCTGCTTCAAGTCCAAAAGGAGAGACTGAGCTAATGGAACAACCCCCACCCCCGTTCCTCCACCCCTACTCACCCCGCTGCTCTCTCCTCACCCCTCCACCCTGACTTCACCCCACTCCCACACCCCACTCCCACCCTCACTACGTCTGGACTCTTATGCTGCCTCTGGCTGCCTTTGGAGTGGGCCTTGCACTTGGGAATTTGCTTTGTTGTTAAAATAAATATACAAGACCAAGTTCAGGGGGGAACTCACCGGGATTGGGCGCTGCAGCCAGGGAGCAACTTCTCGGCTATCCTTGCTGCCTTGGTCCTCTTCTCCTTCCTGGGACTCAGGCAGTGATTCTCTTTTTAAGTTGAAGATCAAACAAGATGTGAGACTGTTAAGCCCTGTTAATGGACATTAACATTAATTCTGCTTTCAGAGAAGTGAAACCAGAGGAAGGAGGTGCTCTTTTCTAGGAGGTGATGGTTTATTTTCAGTTATCTTTTTTTTTTTTTTTTTTTTCGCAAAGGTGGGGCATATGATAAGGAGGGAGAAAAAAGAGGTTCCACCACACTTGGTTTTGAATTCTAGGGTTTTCCTCCTTTACATGTGACTTTAGCTTCTTTGACTCCAGGATAAATACAGAGAAGCAGGCATGAGTGTAATGGTGAGTCCTAGGGCTACTTTGGTTAAGTAGGCAGCTTCAGCGACAGAACAGGCAGGAACTTCAAGAGAGTTAAAGAGGCTTCTGAAATAAGGTAATAAATTCTAAGAGGTGCCAACCAAAACATACTCCAGAGATGGGGTGAGAAATCCCAGAGGACTAAATAAACAAAGACAGTAAAACTTGAGAGAATAAGACTTTGGACAGGGGAGGTTAAAGGAGAAACTCTAAGAGAAGAGCTGGGTAAATGGGATCATCTGTCCAGAGAATAGACACTGGTAGGATGCTGAGGATGATGAGATTTTAGAATAGAGGAAAACATTTAAAATATCCCCTAGACCTGGGCCCACAGAGGCATCTTTTGCCCCCGCCTTGGATTCTTCATCCTTGTTCTTTTTCCTCTAAGTAAACTTTTCTTTGCTTTCTAAGTAAAGATTTCCTTGTCTCTATTTATCTTTCTGAGAGTTTGTCCCTGAGTTCCCTTTTGGAGATTCATGGGACAAGGACCCATAGTGATTTAAGGCTTATGGGTTGAAAAGCAGCAGCAGCAGCAGGAGGAGGAGGGTGATTAGGTAATAGCGCACACTGTCTTCAATTGTAGGTTGAGAAAATTCAACAGTCTGTCTCTCATGGATGCTATTGTGAGGGACTGGGTTTCGGGACCACGGGTATTCATTTAAAACATTTTACTTGTTGATTTTATTTGTTCAAAAAGAATTTCGCTTTCAACTGTGATTTTTTTTCCTATAGCAATATATATATACCAGTAAGTGTGTCTAATCCTTTATTTTATAACCCAGACACATGCACTGTTATTCTGTTGCATACTGTACATTCTCATCAATATTTGTCCTTTGTCTTTTTGATAACAGTCATTCCAATAGGGGTTTATGAAAGGCAGAATCTCCTCAGAATCAGTAGATCATTGTGAGTTTATATTGAGGTAATTATGAGTATTTTATGCTGAATTATTTAAATACAGAATTTCTAAATTCATACCCTCCCTCTTTTTGGTAGTAATAGAAGTCCAGGAACGATTGCTGGACTCTGACTTACATAAATAAGGAGAAAAATTTATTTGGAGCTCAGACTAAAAACATAACATCAAAATTATTCCACTTATCATATTTTTGGTTGGTCTATTCATGCTTATACATAATTAGGAAGAATTCATCTTCATAACTCAGAGAATTGTACTAAAAATTAATAAGTGCTCCTGGCATAATAGAAGCTTTTCTGGGATTATTTTTATAAATTATTTCACTGCACTCCTATTTTCACGGTTCCTATTCTCAACTCCAGTAATTCCCCAGCCCCCTACCCCCACACACATTAACTAGAACTGTTTATTCATCCCATAGGGTATAGCTTCCTCCATATGGTCCCTTATCATGTAACACAGTTCACTTCATACTTTTCATATATATGGTGCCCTGTACTGATAACCTGCTTATTTCTTATCTCCCTAACTAGATTCTGGGAGTTTCCTTCCTTCACTATAATATCTATAGTACTTAATGCAAAACCTCAATTCAGCAATCATGCAAGTTTTTGACTAGTATCATTCAATGCAGTATTAGAAATGAGAAGGTCTATTCCTAGTAAGCACTGATCTTTAAAGGAAATGAATTCAAGAAACAGAATGCAACCACATTGTTCGAAGTAATATGTCATAAAAATGAATTGAGGTGACAAAGTGAAATATAAATAGGGTATGTAGTGCAAAGGAGATGGTCTTCCTTACCTTTTCCACATCCTGCAGGCCCTCAGTGTCCAGAAGGACCAGGGTGTGCTTTGGCTTGGAGAGGTGGGGCACACACCACATCCAGATGCCTTGGTTTCAGACTGCGCTGTGGAGTCCAGAGGGAAACCTGAAATGGAAGGGGAGAACGTGTTATTGGTAATATACAATTAGATAATAGATAGTCCAGGATGTCCATGGGTTACATTGGTTAAGCTTGTTGTCTGTAACTTAACAGTTTATAGTGACTAAATTTATCATATATGTATGTGTTATGAAATCCTGTCTATGCAGTGGTATAGCTTGCACAGGAGAAAATACCAAATAGACAAAGAGAAGGGCATATAATTGATCCCTGTTTGAGAGGAAACTGCTACTATTTCAGCAAGGACAGTCAATCCAACTTTATACTTAAGAAAATTCTCAAGAAGGACTTTGTATTCCTGGTTCATCTCACACTATTATGGACTCAAACTATGTCACATTACTGAATTATGTGAACTAGTTTCTTTTAAAAGTGTTTAGACATTGTTTTATTTTTATTGCAGTAACATGGTATACAACAGCATATATGATTCAGAGGTTATAGGTTCACCCAGCTCTTCAGGTGTACATTACCAACCACACCCACTATCAAGGCATCCATAGTTCTTACCATAATTCAGGCCCTCCATGCTCTCTGCCCTACCCCATCCCTCCTCTTTTGGAGCTTAAAAAATAGGAAATACCGAAAGAGGCAACAAGTTAGAATAGAATTCTTGAAATAAGAATTGCAAATAGTAAGTAAATATGGGGGAAATTTCAAACTATACAGAGTGGGGCCAATAACTACATAATGCATATAAATAGTCACTAAATCGACAATAGTTAGTATTTTTACCATTTTTTTGAGGGTGTTGATAATTCTCAATGGCTGTTATTAATAATCATATAAATTGCATGTAAGTTTGAAAAGCTATCTGTTAATATCTAGAGTAGCTGAGAGTATATATATATATAGTCTTTGGACAAACAGTTCTACTTCTGGGAATAGCACAAACACAAGGAATCTAAATAAAAGAATTCAGCACCATTCATAAAACTAGAACTAATACCAGTGTTCATCAACAACAAATGGATACAACAATTGTGGTCCTTTGGGACAGTAGTGTGGATAGTGTGGTAAAAATAAATAACATACATGTACAACAAACTCAAGGACTTTACTATAAACTTCTTGTGGAGCGATAGAAGCAGGAATACCAGAAATATAATTCCCTTTCTATAAAGTTTAAACTATTTTTTACAAATGCATATGCTGATTATAAAACTAATTTTAAAAATGAAGAGTGAAAGAATGTACCATGGAAATACAAACATTGGTGAACTCTAGTAGGAGAGGGAAATTGGCTTTTATATGTTGTTGGGTTTTTTTTTTTTAAGATTTATTTATTTATACAAGCACTGGGCACAGTCAGAAGTCTGCGCGCCATGTGGGACCCTCCTCCGGAGGCCGGGGAGCAGCCGGGGATCGAACCGGTGCTGCAGAAGCTGCGGACAGCTTCGCAACCCAGCGTTCAACCGCTGCGCCACCGGGGAGGCCCTGTTTTTTTATTTCTACATGTGGACAGTGATTACAGAGCTTGTAAGTTTATATTAAATTCATCACATATATAGGTTTTATGCCAACCTCTGAATATATTATAGTGTTTACATTAGAAAATGCCAAATTGAAAACAAAGGGGGTATAATTGATCATATTTTGATATGAAATGTGAAAAAAAGCTTTAAGTAGTGCCACTTATATGGAATATACTGAATTTCTACTGTCTGTTCTTCATCTACCCATTTTTTTTTAAACAGGGCCTATTCAGCAATAATTGTATATTTTTTGAAATGACCATAAATTAGGGCAAAATTGATGTTGGAACAAGTAAGGGAATACTTGCTGGAACTGAGCTACTGAGCAGATAAGAGCAAATAAGATTAAATTAATGAAGTATCCTTTGATAAAGTTGGGGATTAGTGGACAAGAAAGGGAGATTTGGGGTAGGTGGGGTTGAGGTGATAAATGTAGCAATGATGATTAGTTTTCTTTAGTGGGAAGTGCTAGACTTTTCCTCAAATGATCCTAAAGGAGATACTATCAGCCTCTGTCCTCACTGCTGAATCAGCATGTGTCCCCTGCCCTGGAACAACACTCACTGTGGTTCTGTCCTGCCAGGCAGTCCATTAGGTAGGAATTCCTGTGTGATACAGCCCTGCAATGGCTGTATACAGCCCTGCACCACCATCACGGGCTCTGAGATCTTCTCCAAAATCCTCAGTGCTTCTTGATTTTACCCTCAGCAGCTTTTCCTCATTTTCGACTGGGCAGGTGGGGGCTGTCATGATGGATCCAGATGCCATGGTGAACTGTAATGCAGAGGAACATTTGCAAAAAAATAATAGCACTGTAGGTCAGAGCTGTTGGTGACACAAGCCCTGTGCATATCAGAAATATACAAAAATAGATGACTGGATCGTGAAGATGTGGTAATTATACACAATGGAATATTACTCAGCAGTCAAAAAAGATAAACTCATGCCATTCAGCAACATAGATGGAGCTGTGAGGGAGCTAAAACAGAAAGAAAGAAAAAGATCGGATGGTCTCACTTATAGGAGGAATGTAGGGGAACCAGATAAGGGATCAGGAAAATAATAATTATAATAAATTAAAAGAACAAAATTAACAGGCAACTATAAAGAAGAAACCTTCTGCAGGGGAGGGGGAGGGAGAGGGATCAAAACAGGGGAGGGAAGAGTCAGGGACTGTGATGATAGTGCACGGGTAAGGTGGTGGTAGGAATTTGACATGGACACCACCTGAGAAGAATACATTGTACAAAAAGGAAGAATGATGTAAAATATATATAAAATAAAGTAAAAGAAAAGGAAAAACTCATGCCATTGGCAGCCACATGGATTGAACTTGAAAGGATAATAGTAAGCAAAAAAATCAAACAGAGAAAGGTAATTACTAGTTGGTTTCACTTATATGTAGAATATAAAGGAAATAAATTAATATTCCCATAAAGACAAGCTGAAAACCTACCCTTTAAAAACTGATAACAGGTCCTCCCTGGTGGCACAAGGGGTTAAGCACCACACTATGCAGCAGTCTGCAGCCTCTGCAGCATGATTTCAATCCCCAGCTGGCCAGGGAGTAACCCACATGGCGCAGTGGACCTCTCCTGACTTGCCCGCTGCTCCCCTCAGCAGTGTATTTCAGTCGGTCTGCTTGTTCTGTTCCCCATTCTGTCTCTGGTGGATCATCTCAGCCCCTGCATCTCTAGCTTGTACCCCAGCTCTTATATGCGTAAATAAACATCTTAAAAAAAAACAATTACAGAACTAACCTTTGATAACTGAGATAACAGACAGGAAGGAGAGTGGGGGGGGAGAACAGGGAGAGAAGGAGGCTTATGGCCTTTGGTGGTGGAGTGCAGGTGACTTGGTGGTGGGTGCACTGAGGTGGGAATACCTGGTGGGAATACCCCTATGTTGCCTTGATTAAAAATAAATATATTAGTTAATTTTTTAAAAATGATGTGATATTTCATGAAAGCAACAGACGGCTAGCAGTCCTAGTATTTCGGCTGTGCATTTGCTTCCTCAGATACATTACTAAGCAGCGTTCACATGTTCCCATTCTCTCCTAGTTTTGTGACCTCTTTAAAGATTAGTATTTTTCTCTGTGTCTCGGTTTTTTTCTTCCATGAAGTGGGAATATTGAAAGTAATACTGTTGCTGTTCTGGTCATTAAGAGGATCACGTATCTCATAATGTTTATGGTGTTACTAAAATATTGCTGATATGTGGTAAATCATATAAAGTATGGATGAAAAATTGAGTGTCCCTAAAGGCAGGGAGGGTAATTTCTAAAATAGGGTGAAGAATTGGCTTTGGACTAAAGCGGTGACACTTTCCCCTGTTGCAAGCAGGTGGAGGACACTTGCCATGAGGAGGATGAGCAGGCAGGAGAGGACCAGCTTGGCGGCTGAGAGACCACATGGTGGAGGAAGTGGAAATCAACATTTGGAACCCATTTAAACGAGGTCAGGACTCAAGAGAGTTTACCTGTGTGTGGGTGAAACAGTAAACGACAAACCCCATAAGCCTGGCGTTCTCCCACTGTTTCCTTTTCCAGGGGAGCTAGAAGGAGGTTTTCAGAGGTCAGCTAGGACAGTGGGAAGAGGAAAGAGGGAGGAGCACATGCTGTCTTCATGATCACGCCCTGCCTGTCTGTTTCTTCTGTTGTTTTGTTTCCAAATAAGCACTGTGGGGGACTCACTGACTGATTTCCCTCTGGAGGTGGACAAGGATGGGTCAGGTTAAAGGAACCCAGAGCCACCCTGGGATATAAAATTCTGGAGTCAGACTGCCAAGGTTCAACCCCAAGTGTTCAAAATGCTTATTGGTTTTCACAGTTTTGACCTCGGAATGTATTTCTGTAAGCCTCTTCTTTCTTTATTTCTCTCTTTCTCTCTTTTTTTCTTTCTTTCTTTTTCTTTCTTTTTCTCTTTCTCTCTCTTTCTCTCTCTCTCCCCCCCCCTTTCTTTCTGCATACAAGAGCTGGTGTACAGGCCTGAGATGCAGGGGGTTAGACGTGTCACAGGAGACAGAAGGGGAGCAGAACAGGCAGACTGACTGAAGTACACGGCTGAGGGGAGCAGTGGGCAAGTCAGGAGAGGTCTGCTGCGCCATGTGGTTTGCTCCCTGACCAGCCGGGATCGAACTTGTGCTGTGGAGGCTGCGGACATCTTCATAGGTTGTGTCTTAACCCCTTGTGCCACTAGGGGGGCCCAATAAACCTCCATTTTCTAACTAGTATTATAGGTAAACAAATAAATCCTGCCTGATTATTACTGTACAGTCTGCTATCAGAGTGGATCTAAATAATAAAAAAAAATACACTGTTTACTGCACCACTTTAAAAAATGAGCAAATTTAACAATGTATTAAAGTTTATCAATGTGTTTAATGAGCTGCAAGTATCTAAGTAGTAATAAGGTATGCAAATCTTTTTTCTTTTTTTAATAATAAATTTTATTTTTATATTCCCCATACAATTGTAACCCCCTTATTTTGACCCCAGTCCCTCCCCTCCCTGCCCCCCATCCCCCATAGAGTGTCTCTGGTTCATAGTTGTTTGTTGATTTTGATTTTCACTTTCTTATAGTTATTCATTTTCCTGGTCCCTTATTTAAGTTTTCTAGATTCCTGCTATGAGTGAGACCATCTGATATTTTTCTTTTTCTTTCTGGCTTATTTCGCTGAGAATGATCCCTTCCAGCGCCATCCATGTTGCTGCAAATTGCATGTGTTTATCTTTTTTGAATGCTGAGTAATATTCCATGATATATATGTACCACATCTTCTTGATCCAGTCATCTATTTTTGGGCATTTGGGCTGTTTCCAAAGCTTAGCTATTGTAAACAGTGCTGCTATAAACATAGGGTGCAGGTGCTCTTTCGAATTGATGTTTCTGTGTCCTTTGGGTAAATACCTAGGAGTGGAATTGCTGGATCATATGGAAGCTCTATGTTTATTTAGTAGGTCAAGAAATCTCCACACAGCTCTCCATAGTGGTTGGACCAGTTTGCACTCCCACCAGCAGTGCAGGAGAGTTCCTTTTTCTCCACACCCTCGCCAACATTTGTTGTTGCTAGTTTTTTTAATATGTGCCATTCTCACTGGTGTAAGATGGTATCTCATGGTAGTTTTGATTTGCATTTCCCTGATTACAAGTAATGTTGAACATTTTTTCATATGCCTGTTGGCCATTTGCATTTCCTCTTCAGAGAAGTTTCTTTTTAGCTCTTCTGTCCATTTTTTGACAGGATTAGTTTCTTTGTTGTTGTTGAGTCTCATCAGCTCTTTGCAGATTTTTGTGATCAGCCCTTTATCATTAGTGTTGTGTGCAAAAATGTTCTCCCAGTCGGTGGGGTTTCTCTTTGTTTTGGTTATTGTGTCTTTTGCTGTGCAGAAGCTCTTTAATTTGATGTAGTCCCAGCTGTTTATCTTTGCCTTCACTATCACCGCTTTGGGTGATGTATCTGTAAAGGTGTCTTTGATGTGGTATGCAAATCTTTTCATCAGAAAGTGACATTCATTTATTTATCAGAATTTATTTGTATAATTTTATTTCTTTTCCAATAGTTAGTGGTAGCAGAGTTGTTGGAATTAAATGTGAACCCTCGCCTGTGTGTTATGTGTAAGAAGAATTGTAGAACTTTGGTTGCATCCAAAAATGCATAGACTAAACATTTTAAAAGCTTTAGGAATGAATAGAAATTTTTAAACAGATTTTGAAAACACAGGCCTACTGAAATGCCCAATCTAAATAAACAAGTAGGATGAAATAGTTTTATTGTGATTCATGAGAATCACTTGGGCTAATGTTTAAAAATACCCAAGCCCTGTCTTCTCAGCAAGCACCAGAAGTTACCTGATACAGTTCTTGTAAGGCCCACACAATAAAATCAGTGTGTGGTGAACAAACATGATAAATGTTCAAGTAATTTTTAAGTTTCTTCCCATTAGACTGGCTTATTTTCCTGAAATGAGCATCCATAGAGCTCCATAGAGGGTCCATATTTGCTCCTTTTGGCAAATAATATAAAATACAAAACTCACTTTCTTCAAGCTGACAAAACTTGGATGCAACCAACACATTCTTTGGTAGATGAATGAATAGATCAGCTTTGCTAGATCCTAACATTGGAAGAATATTCAATGCTAAACAGTAATGAGCTATCAACCTGATAAAAGACATAAAAGAGGCTTAAACACATATTAATAAGTGAAAGAAACCAATGAAAATATTCTCTATGGTTTTGTGATGAATAATACATGTTATTATGAATTTGACCAAAGCTACTGAATGTGCAACATCAAGAGCAAACCTTTAGGTAAACAGTGGACTTTGGGTGATTACAATGTGCAGCCTAGTTCTTTTAAACAAGGTACTATTTTGGTTAATAATGTTAAAAACAGGGAAGACCATGCATGTCTGAGAGCAGGCATTTTATGAGAATCTCTCTACTTTCCTTCCTCTCTATTTTATTGTAAACCTAAACTTCTCTTAAACATTTTCTTTTAAAGAAAAGAGACAGTGAGGGATAATTGAACACTATCTTGATTTTTGGTGTTTCTATGAAATTAGTTTTTGTAGTTGATAACATTGTGAGTATGTTACTTGAGGCAACTTCTCACTTTTAAAGACACCTGAAATATTTTTGGATGAAAGTATATGATGCTGATACCTTTGGATGAAAGAATATGGAATTAACTATTACATAATTGGAGAGAGAGGGAAAGATGTAGAGGAAATAAAAATAGTAATGAGTGGTATTTGTTGAAGCTGACTCTATTTTGTATTAGTTTGAAATTCTTCCAAATAAAACATTTTTAAAGTTCTAGACAAAATTATATATGACTTTGTGAAACACATATCAGATACCCTTCCAAAGCCTTATTACAAGCTTATATATGCACACTATCCTTAAGTTAAACTTCATTAGTCTCATATTAAACTAGCCTCTAGCTAAATAGGGGTGCAACTGCATTGTTGCAAATACTGAATGGTCCTAAAAGTCATGCTTGTGTAGATATGTGTCAGAAAGTGAATAAAAGACTATGAAATAGGGTTGAAAAGATCAGAAGACAGAAGAGGAGAGCTAGAGATGGATATAGTCAAATAAATATCTACATTTCCAGCCACACACTGATTTCTGTTAGTTATCCCCCCTCACACACACACACACACACACACACACACACAAACACGCACACACAATATAGAAGAGAAATAGAAGCAGGGAGAAGAAGAGGAGGTATGGCAGGAGGAAAAGAGGACAAGCAGGAAGGGGAAGAGTTGCTGAAAAGGAGAGAAAGAACTGTCAGACAGTAGATGACGAATGAAGATAGTGACAAGCAGGGAACTCAGGGAAGATTTTCCAGAAGGCAGGGTCAAAACTGCTTGGGAGCACTGAGAGCTCATGTGTATAAAACTACCACCACTGATACTTTGAAGAGGAAGCTGTTTAGTAAAGTAATATAGTCAAGAACTAGGGTAAGAGGTGAGGAGTGAGTTGGCACATTCATGGCAAGTTCCCTCACAGAGCATTGTGGTAAGTGTCTCCTGGCAACACAGACAATATCAGCATCGAGAAAGACACTCCTGATGCATTTCAGTCTCTCAGTACCTGTCACACTTGCTGCCTAACTCCTCACCAGCACAGTAGTAACAGCTGGGATACCCAGTCACCTCAAAACACCCAGATTTTCTTCAGAAAAGCTGATGGCCCATGTCAGGCATATCTTGGTGATGCTCAGGTTTTAGAAAAAAGCTGACTTTCAAAAATCCCTTCTGTCCTGTCCCAACCTCATCCTGGGCTCCTGTTCCCAGACAAGAACTCCTGTGGAGCTGGAAAGAAAGCAGCTATGGTGAGAAAGTAGTAGATCTTACCTGTTTCTCTCCTCTGTTGAGGTGGAATGATTTAGTGACTTCTGTGTCTGTCACTGCATAGTTGGATTTATATGTCATCTTTCCAATGTCACGCAGCTCTCTGGATTTCCTTGAGAGAATAGTCAGAAGTAAAGGAACTTCTAACGGATGTAGAATAACATGAAACTGAACAGGGGACAAAGCAGTGAGTCAACAACCAGAAAAGGATTTCTGGAAGTCGTGCTAGTAAGAGGTTATATGGGTTCACATGTTTTCTCAACTAAAATCTTCAATTTTTGGAAGGTTTTATAAGTATTAGAAATCGTGTTTTTTTTAGGAATGTGTCCATGATATATACGAGAATGTATCTTAGGTTTAGGCATCCGTTGGAGATGCCTGGAATGAGGAAGTGCAATATTATGTTTGAGCTATAATTTTCTTTAAAATGGCTACCCAGGCCTCCCTGGTGGTGCAGTGGGTTAAGATGCAACCTATGAAGTGGTCCATAGCCAGTGAAGCACGAGTTTGATCACTGGCCAGGGAGCTGTCCACATGGGGTAGCAGACCTCTCCTGACTTGCCCACTAATCCCCTCAGCGGTGTATTTCAATCAGTCTGCCTGTTCTGTTCCCCATTCTGTCTCTGGTGAATCCTCTTATCCCCCACACCTCAGGCCTGTACCCCAGTGGAATGACAAGCATTTCATTCTAACCCAAGAGTTTTAAGCTCTAGACAGCTGGAATGAATTCCGACATGTTAGGTTTTCCTTCAACAAAATTTTCCTGGAAATTTACCACCTTGAAAATGTGGTGCTGGACTTTGGGAACTGCTTCAGCCAACATCTTAGTACTTAATTCTGAAAATAGGTTAGGGATTAGAATTTCAAGGCTTTTTGAGAGGCTAAAATTAGGATTTTCATCTCGTACTTTTTGTTTCCTACTGTAGTAACTAGAGTGTTCTGTGGAACTGACTTAAGCAGAACTCCTAGCATAGCACCTATTCCTCCTGCTGTGGGAACTCCCCATCCATGATTATTGTTTCTGGTCACATGTTAGTAATTGCATCCACTTGTGTTTAAATAAATTATAATTCTTACTAGATAGAAGAGGCACAAAGAACATACAAAGTAAAACAAGTTATGTTCCCATGTTGCTACTGTGTATCCACAGTAACAATTTAGTTGTGCTTCCCAGAGACAGATGATCTGTTCATTATTTTGTAAATTCAGTGGTACACCTTTATATATTTTCTGCATCTTTTATTGATTCATGAAAAAATCATAGAGTTTTTTCATGTCAGTATAAAGATATTTTCTTTTTTTTTTTTTTATTTTTTATTTTTTTTTATTTTTTATTTTTTTTTTTTTTATAGAGGCATGCTTTATTTATTTGTTTGCTGGTTTGTTTGTTTGTTTTGTTTATACATGCACTGGGTACAGTCAGAAGTGCGGGAGGGCGAGAGAATTCACCAGAGCCAGAGCGGGGAGCAGAGCAGGCAGAAGGACCGAAGTACACTGCTGAGGGGAGCAGCGGGCGGCAGGAGAGGTCTGCGCGCCATGTGGGACCCTCCTCTGGTGGCCGGGGAGCAGCCGGGGATCGAACCGGCGCCGCAGAGGCCGCGCGCAGCTTCGCAACCCAGCGCTCAACCGCTGCGCCACCGGGGAGGCCCTATAAAGATATTTTCTACTTTCAAGTTATTGACTGTAGAGGTTTCTTTTTAAAGGCTGTATTAAGAGTTACCTTGCCTGATGACAGAGCAACTTTAAAGTTGTTTCATCTTTTAAAGTTACAAAAATCTTGCAACAAATACATTACTATTTATCTCATTTCAGATTGGATAAATAAAATCTATGTGGTCAATGTAGAGTTGTTGAATCAACAGCATTTTCATTTCAATTTTTGAGATACATATTTGTACCCTTTGCACTATGCTACAAATATGAGACTCTGCCACTTTCCCAATGTGCCAATCTGGTCTACTATCAAAAGTTTTCCAGATGATATTTGACAGATGATACAGTCAACTCCTAATTTTACTTTGAATATCTTTAATAATCAGAAAAGTTAAATTTTTTCTATTAATTCCTCACAGATTATATAATCTCATTATATAGAGAAATTATCTCCATACCCATACTGTAGGTTACGGATGATTTCTTCAGCTCACTGTCTTTTTTCTTTGTGGGAAACTTTTCTCTGATTGAGTCATTATATCCTATTTTTTCCATTAATTTATATTAATTCAGTCAAAATGAATGTTGTTTTTAAGATGTCAACCCCTGATATACTATGGTAATAACTTTTTTACTTTTTGAATTTATTGAATGCAACAGCCACCAAAGAGAGTATTCATAATTGTGCCAAGAGCTTTCATGCCTGTATCAATGACCTTAAAAGGCATAGACAGTACTCTAGTTAATACACTACAAGCCTCAAGGAGGCCATCAAGGATTGTTGTGGATCTATTGCTCCTAGTTTCTTGAATAGCTTCTCTCAGATTATTTGCCTCTTTTTTCATCTCCTCATATTTCTTTTGGAATCCTTCAGTAAGTAGTTCTTCTTGCATCTGTAAAAAAGAAGAGAGTCTCCTGTTAAAAATACCCAATTATCAGTATTTTCTATTTAACAATTTCAGCAGCTAAGTATGTCCTGCTACTTCCCACAACCATAGGTGCTTTTTGATGAGTTTGTAAAATATATCCATATGTTTGGACCTGCAAAGTGGAAGTATCCATGGTTTGTATCTCCATATGACCCCTGAAAGCAATCACTGCAGTGGGGATGTGTTGGGGCTGAGCCAGGCCTGATGGCTATGCCAGCAATGTGTTCAAATCCTTTGAGTGCACTTTGGAGGGGGATGTAGATTTATTTCTGACTATCTCTTGATTCCACTGAGGTGGTATGAGAATAGACATAACAAATAATGGGAAGTGCTGGCTCTCTATAGAACACAGTTAACGCATTCCAGGTTGGGGACAAAGAATGCTTCTAAGAATGCCCTCCCGGCTTATTCATGCACATTCTATACACTCTTATATCTAGGAATGACTTAGGCAATTTGGAATAAAATAGACCCAATTTTAGTGTTTTTAGCATCCCGATTTTATATCAACCACAATCTTTTACTTTCAAGACCAAATGGATCTATTTCATGTTTCTTTGTAGTTTTTTTTTAGAAATATTCTTTATATCATTTTTCATTTTGATATAAATATATGCATTTATGCACAATGTATGCATTTTCATCTTTGTTATAGTCCATATAATTCCCACCCCCCTTATTCTTAGTGGTTTTACGTACCATTAAGGGCTCTACGACTGCTGTCTTATTGACTTTGGGGTCAGATCTGATCTTATAAATAATATAGTCGTGTGTGTTTTTTGTATTCTGCAAAATGAAATGCCACAGGAGGTGTTGAATCTGATACATTTAAGGCTTCACATGATCCAGGTTTATTTGATATTTCAGGTAATAATATGCCTTTGGATTTACTTTTAGGCCACGATTTTAGTTCAATTTTTTATTCTCTTCCTACTGAGGAATTATAGTTTTGCCCTCAGTCACTGCTCAGGCCATGAAGACATACCTTCAGCTTATGATCCAGCATCTTTTCCTGCTCTCTAAGTAGTTCATCTTTTTCTCTCTCCATCTGCTCTTTCAGTTGGACTATGTTTTCCTTGAAACTTTTCTCTTGAGCCTCTGTTATTTCCTGTTGTTCCTTCTCTTTCTGTTTCAGGAGCTCCTGTTCCTGCTCAGCTGCCTCCTTCTTGACCCGCTCAGCTGTTCCACAATGGTTTTCGCAGGGGGAGGAAAATAATAGTAATGCAGAGCTGCACCCTTCTGAGCTAATAGACTTTAATAGTCTAGTAATATATTAACATATGTTCTATATATATTAATAGTCTATAAAATGTCAGGGAGATCTCTAAAACCATCTAGTAGTCACACCTGGAAAATGTGTTAGAATGTGATGGTTGTAGGAGCAACAACACTCATCTGGTTTATTTCACAGGTATCAATTTCCCCACAGACATAGAGGATGCTGGTTATTTCAGGAAAGTTTTGCTTTCACCTGTGTCAGTGCACTGCAGGACCTTCCCTCTCAGCCCCATACCTGCTATGGCCTTGTCTCCATCAGTTAGGGCTTTGTCTGCCTGCAGAATGGATTCCTCTGTTGGTGCCTGTGACTTCAGGAAGCTCTGGAGGACCTCCTTTGCCTGAGGAAACAACAGGGGGCAAGGCCTAGTCAGACAGCAACATCTCTTCTCTTATTAGGGAAAGTATTGTTCAGTGAAACTATAAAATATATCCTGTAAATTCTTCATCCATTTGAAGATCCATACTGGTTCTTTTCCTTCACTGGCCACAAAGTAAACACCAGCTAGAACAGCTCACATTTTAGTTCTACAGTTTCTTCTTTCAAGCATACTACCCACACCTCTCCCAGGTCACAGACAACCAGATTTACATCCTGTTCTGCAAACACAGAGTGTCAATTGTTTGCAGTGTCTGTGCATTTTTTTCCTGCTGATGGGATATTTATGCACATATCCTTTATGAGATAACATTTTTTTTTTTTACACTAAAACATGTAGCTCCTACCTCTTCTTCCGGGGGAGTTTCCTAAAGTTCATTCTGAAATTTGAGTGGCTGCCGTGTACCAGAGCTTCTCTATTAGCTCCACCACCTGATGACTGTGTCTTTACAGGCAAGCTATTAACTTCTCAGTGCATTCCTTTTCTGAATTTTATAATGGGGTGCTTAGTTCATTGGAAGTAGTAGCTAATTCACAATATCTCAGAATTAAATTGATAATCAAGATCTGGATTTAGGAAGTAAGTGTTCTAAATATTGTCGTTCATCAGTAACCATCACGAAAATCACTGTCATCATCCCCTCAGTGTATACCTTTGTGATAATCGTTACCTCAACTATGGACTATTTATTTGTCCCTTTCTGAAACACTAAACTTCCTGAGAACATTTTTGTTTCTTTCATTATATATTTTCCATATGCAGCTCAAAAAGAGTTACATTGTTTGCTAAGTGAAAGGAATGGTCTTTCTCATCTAGATTCCTGCTAATGCATCTTACATTTGGGAAGAAATATGTCTGGTTTATTTAAGAAAATCTAAGTTATTTGGATATAAAAGCTAAAATGACCTACCTCTATATTTTCCTTTATCTATGCAAATAATACTATAGTCTTGGACCCTACCACTCAATTTTGCTTTTCTCAGCTCTGTTTTTTTCCCACCTTAACTCCTTTCCTGGGCACCAGCTCATAGTCCTGCTCAATTTTGTTCTTAGCTTCTAAGTAGAGACTGTGTCCTCCAGGCACAGAGAATCTTCCTCTGGAAATGCTCTCCATCAAGGACTCTGAAATCTTCCTAAGCTCAGCCTGGCAATATTTGAGAGATGCATCTTCATTCTGCAGCAAGAAATTCTCCTTCTCTTTCTCTGTGGTTTCCTGCCAGTGGAAAATGGAGAAATCCAAAAAAAGAAGTTGTTAGGAGGTAAAGTCCATCTGGGATCCTTCTGGAAGAAGCAGTCTTGTGACCTAAGAGTGGATGAAACACAAAATGACCACGAGCCAGGAGTCTTGTATTAGTCCCAGTTCTGATCAATTCTCTTCATAACCTGTTCAAAGTCCCTCATCTCCTGTGGGCTGAGGTCACTGTCTCAGAAATGATGGGGTTGGTAGTCATGAACTGTCAACTACCAATTATTTTCTTCATTGAGGTGTATCTGACATAAAATATTTTATTAGTTTCATTTGTTCAACTTAATAATTTGATATTTGTCAACATTGCACGATGTTCACAACATAATTCTAGTTAACGTTTTTCATCTTACATAGTTGTGAATTTTTTCCTTTTACTGAGATTTTTTATGATCTATCCCCCAAGCACTTTAAACATGCAATAAAGTATTATCGATGGTTCACTTTAGATTGTAGAATTAACAATGCTCCATCCATCAACAATGAATAATGGAAAAGTTATTGGATGATGAGAAGTAGACTTTCTTCTCTACTTGGAGTGGTATGATGCACATAATATACATAGCATATCAGCTGCTCATTGTGAATTAAGTGGTATCTGAACAGAGTTCTGAATTTCTCATAAGTTCTTTCAATGAGTGCTTGTGTGCATAAATATTAGGAACAAAACTTGTTTGTCTAGTTAGAATTTCAGTTCTCTCTTCTATATGAATGAAATGATATTTGTGATTGGTCAAATAGTCAAAGGGAAACTCAAAGGCAAACTTAGAATAAAGGAGCCCTTTCTAAGAGGAATTTATAGACCCCAATAGTCTCATCTCTGATGTTTACACTCTGCATTTTCTCTGGGACTGTGAATATCAATCCTATTAATGGGATATGTAAAGATAATGGATTTTGAGAGAGAGTTCCACTTGGTCATTACCTAATCATTTAAATCCTTTAAAAGCATTTTCTGTAGGTTGGGGCAGAGAAGGTTGTCATGTAAAATTTGAGAACAAAAGGAGGATGGCATGTGCTCTTGGTGGATTAAAAAAAGAAGGTTGGTTCCCAGGGTCTCCATATAGTAAATAAACTCATTTGAAACTTGCTTTTTAATTGTACATGAGCAGAGTGCAGATACTGCGCTCATGGTAACTAGTTACCATGATATTACACTCATGGTAACTAGTTTTGTTATAATAGGAAAAAATGACTCAATCTTTTAGAAAAAGGAAGGACTATATCAAGTTCCTTCTACAATGAGAGCACATGAATCCGAGGACTGAGCAGGGTAAATCTAGGCATCTTTCTGGAAACACAAAAATAAGGCAAACAAAGATGAGACTTATTACCACAAGCATTTTCTGGAACTCTCGCTGGTCATCCTTGAAGGAATGTTCCATGAAGACTGCAATGGCCTCCCTCTCACAGGCTGTGTGCAGGTCTAACAGCTCCTGGAGCGTGTTGGTGGGGAACTGCACTCTCTGGGCCATCTGCTGGCTGTAGTGTTCGGCTGCCTTCCGCACAGCCTCTGAGTTCTTAAGCTGGGCCAGAGTTGTCACAGCATTCTCCAAACAAGGTACACTTCCACTGTTGATGGCATCCACGTAGGTCACAACTAGAGTCCCCAGCCCTGAATGTCATGATATTTAGGGAATAAAAGGAATTTACAACATTTGGAGACCAACATTCTAAAAATCAAAAAAAGTTCATTGAAACAACTTCATTTTCATCTTTGCTTCATCTTCAACCTTGTTCTCATCATTGCCTTCTCCTCTTTCCTCTTCTATGAATCAACATCCTGGCAATAACATCACTTTGTATATTTTATACCTCTCTTTTATGGTTTTCTAATTCATCATGTTCCAATCATAAGTCAATGATATCAATATGTAGTCAAGGATTTTCTGGAAAACTTTACTCACAGATATAAAATGAGAAGGAACTTACTTTACAGCTAAGTGAAGTGCATAATTTATTGGCATTCTTTCCATATGAAAATAAGGGCCCCCTTATAAAAAAAATCATTATGAATTTCAGGCCAGTGCCACACTCCTCCCTCAGGCATGAGTCCACCTGTATACAAGACACAGTGTGTCTGCCCAGGTGGCCTATCCATGATCCAGCTCAAGAGGTAAGGTCATATTTAAGCAGTTTCTCAAACACTCAGTGAGCTTTCAGAGTCTCATGTCCTCTTATTTATTTCCTAACTGCTGTAAATTCACAGTACATCTTGTGTCTCTTCACCAATAAACACTTTCACATCAACTCATCTGCATGCAGATTTCTAATCTTAACAGAATCCGGTGCTTATGTCATTACTGTGTAAGTTTCATGAGACAAAGGAGAGCTCAATAAATACTTTACCAGGGATATTTTCCTATTGTAAACAGTGCTGCAATAAACATAGGTGTACAGGTGTTCTTTTGAATCAATGTTTTCGTGTCCTTTGGGTAGATCCCTAGGAGTGGAGTTGCTGGATTGTATGGTAGCTTCATTTTTAGTAGACTGAGAAACCTCCAGACAGCTTTCCACAGTGGCTGGACCAGTTTGCACTCCCGCCAGAAATGTAGAAGAGTTCCTTTTTCACCGCATCCTCGCCAACACTTGTTGTTGCTTGTTTTGTTTTTTTTTTTTTTTTTTTTGATATGTGCCATTCTTACTAGTGTAATGTGGAATCTCAGTGTGGAAACGACCCAAATGCCCAAAAATAGGTGACTGGATCAAGAAGATGTGGTATATATATACAATGGAATATTATAAAGCAATCAAAAAAGATAAACTCATGCCATTCACAGCAACATGGATGGGGCTAGAAGGAATTATGCTCAGTGAAATAAGGCAGAAGGAAAAAGAAATGTATCAGGTGGTTTCACTTATAACAGGAATATTGGGAAACCATATAAGACATCAGTGTAAAAAAAATAACAGTACAAAACAGAACAAAGTGAAACAGACAATTATAAACCAGACACATACTGCAGGGAAGGAGGAGGGAGAGGGATGAGAGTGAGGGAGGGAGTAGCACAGGGGACTGTGGTGATGGTGCATGGGTGCCTTGGGGAAGGAAATTCTATGAATACTCAAACTGAAGGGGTGGGGTGGAAGCAAATATTGTCTAAAAAAAGGTAAAAAATGATAAATGTTAAAATTAAAAAACAGGGATATTTTAATGAAGGAACATGCATTTCTATGTGTGACATTAACATCTGCCTTACTCTACATAGAACAAGACTCAAAAGTGCCAACAAGTCCAGGGAGCAATGAGCTTCATCACACACACTGAGCCACAGAGACATGTTGTGACAATAGACTCACCATGTCCAGTCACAGTGATCCCTTGCCTCAGGGTCTTGGCTTCTGCATGTGTGAAGATATAGGAACAGAATTTTCGGGATTGCTCTTGGAAACTTGAATCCAGTTGATTTTCTGACACTTCCTCCAAGCGGTGTAACAGCTTTTTGTCACTTGTAGGTCGGTCAAAGACAAAGCACTTCCATTTTGGAAAGAACTTCCTGATACACTCTCTAGGCAGGTTGGACATTTGCGTTTGGGTATTATCACCTTTATGTGTGGAGAAAAAATAATCACTGAAGGAATGCTTTCAAGCCGGGAGCTGAAGACTTTCATTCCAGGGATCTTTGATCCATCTAGATCCTGTGCCTGTAAATTTTTCTTTTTATGATCATGTAAATCAACCTTATATAATTCAACACAATATGTGGAGAATCTTATCTCTATACAGAACCAAGAATGAAGGGGACAGTCTCACTGGAGAGATAGATCAGTGCTTTGGGGGAAACCTTTAGTGCATAAAATTATTTATATGTAACTATGTAACTTAGTAAAATAAAACATGAAATATATTTTGAAAGTTTGGTAATTAGATATCTTTGTGCTTTTGGATTTACCTATTTCTAATCTAATGGACATTTTTTTCTCTAAATACAGATGGAGGAACACTTAAACTGAATTAGTAAGAAAGATATTTGGGCTTTAGAAAGTTTGAGCACTCATTGTAAGTATGAACTTTCAAGGTATCAATTTTTCTGAAATCATTAGGTCCAATAATGGATTCTAAATTTCATTGTTGAGCTTAAACTCTGATCGCTGGCATTTTTCCAATAAGGATATTGACTCCATACCCACCAATCATATACCAATAACCAATATCATAAATTTCAATCCAAAGTCAAGTAAAGAATTCATCTCAACTGTTGAATGACTGGGCATAGTTCATCCTACCTCCACTGAACCTTCCATCAACCAGGACATTCTCTATACCTTTAATCAACTTCAAGGCATTCTCCAGGTACTCATCTTCAGTGACGGGGTGACCATCTAACTCCAGCTCCAGTGTGAAATCACGGACAGCCCAAACAAAGTCTGGAAAGAAACTCACAAACTCGGCTGAGTCATTTCTTTCATCAGAGCTGGGAGAGGATTTTGTCCTCATGAGGTCTGCTAGTTCAGTCACATAGCTGAGATTTAGCTAAGGAAAGAAAAGGGTCTTTCAACAAAACTTTCAGATCTCACTCCCAAGCCACTTTTAGAAACATTTCTATTTGCCCTCCTCTCCCTTTTCTCAGTTATTCATGAGAACTGAGTTACGGGAAAGAAAAATTAGTGTCATTGCTATTTCCACACACATGGTAATACAAGGTAGTCTCACTCCATGAAGGATACTGCAGCTGCTCCAGGGCCTGGTGGTTAATGGTCCCAATGCTGTTGTAGACAAACATGCTGCTGAGAAGCACGGCCAGTGTGAAGATCCACGAGTCATTCTTAGGGTCACCCTAGAAAGTCATTACATTAAGGGATGTAGGAGCTTACTCTTCTTTCATCAATCATTTCCTTACTTACTACATCATTTGTACTGTTGCTAAATAGTGGTGTATAAATCATTAATTTTGAAAACTATCCTAAACGAAAACCTCAATTTTGGAATTTACGTTTATTCCTCTCATGGCCTGAGATACTTTTGCAATTAACTTTAGCAATGAATAACACTATTAGTGTATGTCAGATATTTAAGACAATGACTAGACATAGAAGTAAACAATGATGCTTATGTAATATTTTTTTAATCGTTGGCTCTATTGGGGGCACAATTATTCAATTAAATGAAGTTTACACTTCTCACTATACATCAACAAAATATCAGATGCTGAATTTATTTATGTGAACATAAAATTTCTGCCCCAAGAAGATATCTTTCGAGAGGAGCAGATATACATGGCACCATGGAAATGAAACCATGATGAATGCATATTCAAGACACAAGGAGACTTTCAAAAAACCAGAAAAAGTATTCTGTTAATTCAGGGTTTCCCTGTTGGCACAAGGGCTTAAGACAACCTATGAAGCTATCTGCAGCCACTGCAGAATGAGTTCAATTCCCGGCCAGCCAGGGAGCAACCCACATCGTGCAGCAGACCTCTCCTGATCCCCCCACTGCTCCCCTCAGCAGTGTACTTTGGTCAATCTGCCTGTTCTGTTCCCCACTCTGTCTCTGGTGAATCTTCTCACCCCCTGTGCCTCTGGCCTGTGTCCCAGCTCTTGTATGCATAAATAAATTTTTTTTAAAAGTATTCTGTTAATTCAGAGTAAGAGGTGTTCATGTCTAAATAGAATGATAGCATTATGTTTTGAACAGCATGGGCTAAGCATTGACAGTTGTAGAATTGTGAAGATTAATGAATCAAAATATAGAAGGACCAAAAAAAGACAATTGGAACTGTGAGAGTGCAGACATAAGGTATTACAAATGTTTTATTTGACTGTGGTTTGTTTTTTGTGTGGCAGTAGATGACATGGCTTTAGTGGGGTTTGGGAATGTTATGAGTGACTTGTCATAGAATCAGATAACACTCAAATGCACTGCAAGTTGCAAGGACAGCAATGGCTCTGCTGCTGTTAAAGACAACATAAGAAAATCTATCAGTATAATCCAACACATCAACAAAAAGAAAAATAAAAACCATATGATCATATCAATAGATGCTGAGAAAGCGTTTAACAAAGTCCAACATCCATTTATGATGAAGGCCCTTGAAATTCTTGGGATAGAAGGAACTTACCTTAACATGATAAAAGCCATATATGACAAACACACAGCCAATATTATTCTCATTCTCAATGGCGAAAAGCTGAAGTCCTTTCCTTAAAGATCAGGAAGAAGTTAAGGATGTCCTCTCTCACCGCTGCTCCTCATTATAATATTGGAGGTCCTAGCCAGGGCATTAAGAGAAGAGAAAGACATACAAGGAATCCACATAGGGAAAGAAGCAGTCATACTATCACTATTTGCAGACAATATGATAATCTATAGAGAGAACCTTAAAAACTCCACCGAAGAACTACTCAAAATAATCAACCAGTTCAGTAAAGTAGCAGGAAACAAAATCAACACACAAAAATCAGTAGCCTTTCTATACACAATCAATCCGAAGAAGAAGAAATCAAGAAAACCATCCCTTTTGTAATTGAAACAAAAAAATCAAATACTTGGCAATAAACCTAACAAGAGGTGCAAGACCTATAGAAAGAAAATTATAAAACACTGTTAAAAGATATAAGAAGATACAAAGAAATGGAAAGACATCCCTTGCTCATGGATTAGAAGAACTAACATTATTAAAATGTCCACCCTATCAAAAACAATATACAGAGTCAACACTATTCCAGTAAAAATCTCAATGACATTCTTCAAAGAAATAGAACAAATACTGATCAAATTCATATGGAACCACAAAAAACCATGAATAGCCAAATCCTTTCTGATGAAAACAAAGGAGAAAAGAGGTATCACACTTCCAAACTTCAGCTATACTACAAAGCCATAATAATTAAAACAGTTTGGTTTTGGAACAAAAACAGACACACCGACCAGTAGAACTGAATAGAGAGCCCAGAAATAAAGCCACATTTATTGGACAACTGATCTTTGACAAAGGAGCAATGAATATGAAATGGAACACGGATGTTTGTTCAATAAATGGTGCTCGGAAAACAGAACCACCTCATGCAAAAAAATGAAACTAGACCTTTCACCATGCACAAAATTCAACTTAAAATGAATAAAAGGACTGGACATAAGACCTGAAACCATAAAATATGTAGAACAAAATATAGGTAAAACACTATAAGACATATATCACAATAACATCTTTAAAGACTTATCACCCAAAGCAAAGAAAGTCAAGGAAAACATAAAGAGCTGGGATTACATCAAACTGAAAAGCTTCTGCACAGCAAAAGAGACATTAACCATAATAGAGAGGCACCCCACTGATTGGGAAAAAAATCTTTGGACTCCAGTCAACTGCTAAGGGTCTGATCACAATATATACAAAGAACTCACATGACTCAACAAAAACAAAATGATCAATCCAGTCAAGAACTGGGCTGAAGAACTTAAAAGACATTTCTCCAAAGAGGAAATGCAAATGGCCAACAGGCATATGAAAAAATGTTCACCATCCCTAATAATCAGGGAAATGCAAATTGAAACCACATTGAGATACCACCTTACACCAGTAAGAATGATACATATCAAAAAAACAAGCAACAACAAATGTTGGCAAGGATGTGGGAAAAAGGGACTCTCCTACATTGCTGGTGGGAGTGCAAACTGCTCTGATGACTATAGAAAGCTGTCTGTAAGTTCCTCAGTCTACTAAAAATGGAGCTACCATATGACCTGACAATTCCACTACTAGGCATCTACCCCAAGGACACAAAAACATTGATTCAAAAGGACACCTGCACCCCTATATTCATTGCAGATTATTTACATTAGGCAAAACCTGGAAACAACCCAAATGTCCAAAAATAGATGACTGGATCAAAAAGATGTGTCATATATACACAATGGGATATTATTCAGCAATCAAAAGAGATAAACTCATGCCATTCGCAGCAACGTGGATGGAACTAGAAGGAATTATGCTCAGTAAAATAAGCCAGGAAAAAAAAAAAAAGAAAAATATCGGATGGTTTCAGTTATAGCAGGACTATAGGGGAACCCAAGAATACACCAGTGTAAAAAAATTAACAACAGTACAAAACACAACAAAGCAAAAACGGACACATATAAATCAGACATACTGCAGGGGAGGAGGAGGGAGAGGGATCAGAGGGAGGGAGGGAGGAGCACAGGGGACTGAGGTGATGGTGCACGGGTGCACTGGTGAAGGAAATTCTATGGGGACTTCACCTGAGGGGGGGGGAAGCAAATATTGTTGAAAAATAAACAATGATGTAAAAAATTTTAAAAAATAATATAAAACTTTTAAAAATAAAAAGTTTTTTAAGTTAAAAAACATAACATCAAAATTATTTCATTTATCATATTTTTGGTGGGTGTATTCATGATTTTATATAATCAGTGAAGAATTCTTCATAGATAAGAGTATTGTATTAAAACCTAATAAGTAGTTCTGGCACAGCTGAAGCTTTTCTGGGGATTTTTTTTAGAAACATTTATTTGTTTATGCATACAAGAACTGGGATACAGGCCAAGGTGTGCGGGGTGAGAGGATTCAACAGAGACAGAGTGGGAACATAACAGATTGACTGAAATACAGTGCTGAGGGGAGCAGTGGGCAAGTCAGGAGAGGTCTGCTGCACCATGTGGGTAGCTCCCTGGCCAAGGCTTAAACTCCTGCTGCAGTGGCTGCAGATAGCTTCATAGGTTGCATCCTAACCCCTTGGGCCACCAGGGAGGTCTTCTGGGGATTATTTTTATAGACTACTTCAAGATCTCCTGTCTTCATGGTTCCTATTCTCAACTCCATTAATTCCCCAACTCCCACGCCCCCTACACACACCTTAACTAAAACAGTCTATTGGCCCCATAGGTTATAGCTTCCTCCAGATGTTTCCCATTCTGAATGATTAGGTTTGGTTCTTCATTTTTATATCCATGGTGCCCTATACTGATAACCTGCTTATTTCTTACCTCCCTAAACTAGACTCTGGGTGTTTCCTTCCTTCACTGTGGTATCTATAGTACTTAACACAAAAGCCTCAATTCAGCAACCAGGTCCCTTTGGTGTTAAAAATGAGAGGGTCTATTGCTAATAAGTAAAGTACTAATCTTTAAAGGAAACAAATTCAAGAAACAAAATTTAACCTCATTGTTCAAAGTATTATGTCATAAATTGAGGTGGCAAAGTGAAATATAAGTAGGGTATCAAGAGCAAAGAAGGCACTGTGCCTTACCTTTTCCACATCCCCCAGGCCCTCAGTGTCCAGAAGGACCAGGGTGTGCTTTGGCTTGAAGGGGTGGGGCACACACCACATCCAGATGCCCTTGGTTTCAGACTGCACTGTGGAGCCCAGAGGGGAACATGAAATGGAAGGGGAGAAAGTGTTATTGATAATACATAATCAGGTAATAGATAGTCCAGGATGTCCATGGGTTACAATGTTTAAACTTGTATGTAGCTCAGCAGTTTACATTTATTACATTTGTAATATATGTATGTTTTATATACTCTGTCTATGTGTTATAGATGCACAGTAGAAAATACCATATAGAGAAAGAGAAGGGCATATATTTGATCCCTGATTGCAAGGAAAACTACTATTTCAGCAAGGACAAGGAAACAATTTCTGCTTGTTAAGGAAATTCTCAAGAAGGAGTTTGTATTCCTGGTTTATCTCTCACCATTATGGACTCAAATTATGTCACATTACTGAATTATGTAAAATAGTTTATTTTAAACATTTTTAGAATTTTTTTTTTATTGAGGTAACATGGCATATGTTGGTTATATTTCACACAGTTCCTCAGTCTACATTACCAACCACACCCATTATCAAGGTATCCATAGTTCTCACCATAGTGCAGGCCCTCTATGCTCTGTTCCCCACCCCCACCCTCCTCTTTTGGAGCTCAAAAAATAGCAAGTACCAAAAGAGGCAACAAGTTAGAATAGAATTCTTGAAATAACAAATGCTAGTAGTAAGTAAATATGGGGATAATTTCAATCTATACAGAGTGAGGCCAATAACTGCAGAAGACTAATTACTATATATTCCGTAAAAATAGTCACTAAATCAGCAATAGTTCAACAGCCTTTTTTCCCAGTTTTATTTTTTGAGAATGTGTATAATATCAATTGCTGATATCTAATACGCATTTAAATTGCAGATAAAGTTTGAAAAGCTATCTGCTAATATCTAGAATGGCTGAAAGTATATCTATTCTATGAAGCAACAGTTCTACTTCTGGGAATAAAAGAAACACAAAAGATCTAAATACAAGAATGCAGCACCATACATAAAAACTAGAAATAATACTGTGTTCATCGAGAACAAATGATACATCAATTGTGCTATTATTGGACACTAGTATAGCATAATGTGGTAAAAATAAATAACATATGCCTATGACAAAGTCTAAGGACTTTACTATAAACCTCTTGTTGAGCAATGGAAGTAAGAATAGCAGAAATATAATTCCCTTTATATAGAGTTTAAGCTATTTCTGAGACATACATGTGCAGATTATAAAACTAATTATAGAAATGAAGAGTGAGAGAATGCACCATGAAAACATCAACATTGATGAACTCTAGTATTTTGTTGATGTTTTATTTTTACATATGGACAGTGATTTTGCAACCCTCTCGATGTTATAGCTTGCACTTAGGTAACACCAAATAGAGAACAAAAGGGGATATAACTGATCAAATTTTCCTATAAAATGATGCAAAAATGCTTTAACATAGCCTCAGTTATATGGAATATGCTGGTTTCTACTGACTGCTCTTTAACCATCCATTTTTAAAATGAAGTCCTATGAGAATATTTTTGTGTTACTTGATATGACCCTAATTAGAACAAAACTGATGTTGGAACAAGTAGAGAAATACTTGCTGGGCCTGCCCTACTGAGCAGAAATAAGTCATGGAAATATAATTAATGAAGTATCCTTTGTTAAAGTTTGGGAAAAGGAGATTTAGGGTAGATGGAGTTGAAGTGACAAACGTAGCAATGATAATTAGTGTTCTCCAGTGGGAAGTGCTAGACTTTTTCTCAAATGACCCTAAAGGAGGTGCCACATCAGCCTCTGTCCTCACTGCTGAACCAGCATGTGTCCCCTGCCCCGGAACAGCACTCACCACGGTTCTGTCCTGCCAGGCGGTTCATTAGGTAGGACTTTCCTGTGCGATACAGCCCTGCAATGGCCACCACCACCACGGGCTCCGAGATCTTCTCCAGAATCCTCAGTGCTTCTGGATTTACTGTGAACTGCTTTTTCCTATTTTCCACTAGACAGATGGGGGCTGTCATGATGGATCCAGAGGCCATGGTGAGCTGTAACCCAGATGACGAACTCCAAAAAATAAGAGCACTGCAGGTCAGAACTCACGGTTTCACAAGCCATGTACATATCAGCCTTCTGCTTTGGAATCTATATCTCAACTTTCGACATTTTGTGTATTTCTAAAGACCATCATATAGCCTCTTGCATCAACATTGGTGCAGTGGCCTAATGAACCTTATATTACTGATGAATCCTTAAACTTGATCTATAAAGTGAATGGAATGAAAATATAAAAACTGAGCACTTATGATGAAGATGTAAAACACTAACATTTGGGGACTAATGAAGAAAGAAAGGGAGCTAGAGATAAGGAGTGTCCAGAATCAATATCACATTAATGCAGAAATATTTTTCGAGTACCTACTGTGAGACTTGTTCACGGAGCTGAATTCTAGTGTGTTTGGAGGGATGGAGAGATAGACAAGTAACAAAGAAGCAAAATTACAAAACACACATGTATATACAGTATATGCTCAAGGAAAATAATGAGGTAATAGGCATAGGAAGATTGAAAACAATGAGGTACTAGGCATAGGTGGTTGAAGAGATATGGGGTGTGTCATGGAAGGCCTTTCCTAGAATGAGAAAATAAATGTATCAGCAAAGGTGATGAGGACAGGTTGGTGAATTGGTGGCAGCAGGAACAGGCTGGAAGAAGAGTGACCCTGAGCAAAAGAATAGAGAAAGCATGGAACTCTCTCAAAACACATCACCATAATACCTGGAACATTATGGGTGCAGGAATTATGATGAAACACACTTAAAGTGCAACCTTATCCAGGACTCTGGGTAGGAATTGTAGTGGGTACAGGAATTAATTTATGTAGCCAGATTGAAATTTCTTACTTATGGGGTGACAGGGCAGAGAGGTTGTGGTCAAGGCGATTTAGGAGCTTCCCAGCTCTGTCACAGTCCTACATCTGGGCAACGTTCTAGTTTAACTTTTCATCACAGTGATTGGACATCACATGAATCAGGACAAAGCTGAAAAGAGCTTTGACAAATACTTCATGTTCTCAAAGAAAATTCTAAATAACATTCACCTGTCCCCATATTTTCCTAGCTGTGTGACCACTGGAAAGATTATTAATGTCACTGTGCCTCAGCTACTCTTTGGAAAACTGCACTTTCTATTCATAATCCCCTGGGGAGGATAATTAAGGTAATTAGTGGACAAATATCTCATAATTTTTATAATGCTCTTCAAATATTGCTGGTACAAAGTAAATGCTACCAAGTAATGATAAAAAGTTGAGTAGGGCGGAATCTCTAAATGAAGATGAAGGATTGGCTTTGGACTAAAACAGTGGCACCTCTCTCCTGGCAGCAAGTAGGGGAGGACACCTGTCATGAGGAGGAGGAGCAGGCAGGAGAGAACCAGCAGTGACAGCTGAGGGTGCATTAGAGGGAGAGTGAGTCAGGCCAGAGGAAGCAGAGTCCTGGGGTGTCAGAGCACAAATGCTGGAGCCAGGCTGTCAGGGATCAATCCCCAGAGTTCAGATCACTTCTTGTCTGTGAGACCTTGATAAAGGAGCACGTCTATTAGTCTTCGATTGTCATCAGTGTTATAGGAAGAACAATAATTCCTGCCTGAATCATTATTATACAGGTTATTTACAGACAGGCACTAAATATTTTTTAATCCAGTATTAATGTACTATTTCGACAATGAGTATGTTAGGAAATATGTAAAACTATATGGTTACATTAGTGAGCTGCTAATTGCCAGGAAATATAAAATACCCAAAACTGTTTTGTCAGAAAATACCATCAACTTGTTTAACAGGTTTTCTGTAAAAAACCTCTATTTTCTATTGTTATTGTGAGAAGAATGGAAAAAGTCTGTTTGTGTTTGCTATATGCAGGAGGAATGATAGACTTTATTTCTTAGATTGAATTTTTTTTTTAGATTTATTTATTTATTTATTTATTTATTTATTTATTTATTTATTTATTTATACAAGCACCGGGTACAGTCAGAAGCGCGGGAGGGTGAGAGAATTCACCAGAGCCAGAGCAGGGAGCAGAGCAGGCAGAAGGACCGAAGTACACTGCTGAGGGGAGCAGCGGGCGGCAGGAGAGGTCTGCGCGCCATGTGGGACCCTCACCCGGTGGCCGGGGAATAGCTGGGGATCAAACCAGCGCTGCAGAGGCCGTGGGCAGCTTCGCAACCCAGCACTCCAACGCTGCGCCACCAGGGAGGCCCTCTTAGATTGAATATTTTAAAAGTTTTGCAAAAGCAGAGGGGGAGGCATAAGAACAGAGAGGGAAGGAGGAAGCACAGCGAACTATGGGCGTGGACTTCGTCGTCCTGGTGATTTGGTTGTGGGGGCAGTATGGTGGTGATAACTCATGGTGGGAAATCCTAATATTACCACAATTTTAAAATTAATTTAAAATAAAGTGTTGGAAGGAATAATTGTGTTTACAGCAAGTATACTGATGATGATAGGTTTAAATTAAAGTAAACTGGGTCCTTGAGCTAGTTGCCCTTATTGGTACCCCAGACACCAGCAGCATTTCTTGTGAGAAATCTGCCTCATTGGCACCATAAACACCCTAATTACCTGTGCTATTTCTTGTGTCACAGTTTTAACAAAAAGTTTAGGTACTCAGCATTTGCCAGCCCAGCTCTTGCTAAGTGAGCATAAAGAAACCAAGAGAAAGGAAACTCAAATGTAAAGGTTAGGTTCCAGCTGCTCACTTCTGCAGACAGTCACTTAATTCTGCCTTTCCCTCCCTTGGAATAAGACTTTGCTTTATTTCTAAGCTCTCAGTCTCTGGATTCTCCCACAATCCACCCGAGCTGATCTGGACCCCTGACACTGCACCCACTTAGACACAACACCCACAGCTATAAACTCCAAATAAAGTCCTATGAAACACTTGTATAAGATGGAGCCACATGTTGGATAATTTCCAAAATTTTCTGTTTATGAGAGTCATCTGGAGTGACAGATAAAAAGAAATACCCGAAAACATGTCTTCTCAGCAAGTATCGGGCTGTTCTGAAACAGCTCTTGTGTGGACCTTGCAGTATACACAGCGAGTGATAGACAAACATGATTAGACCTTACAGGTATTTTTCACAGTGGACTAGTGAGTGTGAGGTTGAATTATTCCATATAACACCGTCAGGTAGTATCTTTGGAATATTAAATGTTGCTAATACAAAAATAATCTGTAGTCAACCATGTAAGGATTCCAATTGTAAATGAAGAAGCTTTTTTTCTCACTGTTTCTCTAAGGACTGTTCAACAGCATTCTCTGATGCCTGACTGGGGTGGTGCTGGAGGTTGGACTGAGGCGGGGGAAGGGCTTAATCGGGTAATGTCTGAGGTGGGGCAGATGGAGATGGAGGAGCAGGAGTCCCACACAGTGCCACTGTGAGGGGGTGGGACTAAGAAATGGGTCGAGCACTGTTTCCACAGAGAGGGGTTCTGAGGGATCCACTCCTCCCAAGCAGGGCTCTCTGAGGCAGCCTGGATGGGATCCTGGAGAAGGAGGGCACCTGAGGACAGGGTGAGGACACCTTCACCTCACAGCTGCTTCAAGTCCAAAAGGAGAGACTGAGCTAATGGAACAACCCCCACCCCCGTTCCTCCACCCCTACTCACCCCGCTGCTCTCTCCTCACCCCTCCACCCTGACTTCACCCCACTCCCACACCCCACTCCCACCCTCACTACGTCTGGACTCTTATGCTGCCTCTGGCTGCCTTTGGAGTGGGCCTTGCACTTGGGAATTTGCTTTGTTGTTAAAATAAATATACAAGACCAAGTTCAGGGGAGAACTTACCGGGAGTGGGTGCTGTAGCCAGGGAGCAACTTCTCGGCTATCCTTGCTGCCCTGGTCCTCTCCTCCTTCCTTGGACTCAGGCAGTGATTCTCTTTTTAAGTTGAAGATCAAACAAGATGTTAGACTGTTTAGCACTGTTAATGAATATTAACATTAATTCTGCTTTCAGAGAATGAAACCAGAAGGAAGGAGGTGCTTTTTTCTAGGTAGTGACAGTTTATTTTCAGTTTTTTGTTTTTTTTTTCCAGGCGGGGCATGTGATAACGAGGGAGAAAAAATGAGGTTCCACCACACTTGGTTTTGAATTCCAGGGTTTTCCTCCTTTACATGTGACTTAGCTTCTTTGACTCCAGGATAAATACAGAGAAGCAGGCATGAGTGTAATGGTGAGTCCTAGGGCTAGTTAGGGTTAAGTAGGCAGCTTCGGGGACAGAACAGGCAGGGACATCAAGAGAGTAAAAGAGGCTTCTGAGATAAGGTAATAAATTCTAAGAGGTTCCTACCAAAACATACTTAGAGATGGGGTGAGAAATTCCAGAGGACTAAATAAAAAGGGACAGTAAATCTTGAGAGAATAAGACTTTGGACAGAGAGGTTAAAGGAGAAACTCTAAGAGAAGAACTGGGAAAATGGGCTCATCTGCCCAGAGAATAGACACTGGGAGAGAAAGCCCATCACTTAGTAGGATGCTGAGGATGATGAGATTTTAGAATAGAGGAGAAAATTTAAAATATCCCCTAGACCTGGGCCCTCAGAAGCATCTTTTGCTCCCGCCTTAGATTCTTCACCCTTGTTCTTTTTCCTCTAAGTAAACGTTTCTTTACTTTCTAAGTAAAGATTTCCTTGACTTTGCTTATTTTTCTGAGAGTTTTTCCCTGAATTCCCTTTTGTAGATTCGTAGGACAAGGACCCATAGTGATTTAAGGGTATGGGGTGAAAAGCAGCAGCAGCAGCAGCAGCAGCAGCAGCAGGAAGGTGATTATGGTAACAGCACACAGTGTCTTCAATTGTAGGTTGAGAAAATTCAACAGTCTGTCTCTCCTGGGTACTTTTGTGAGGGACTGGGTTTAGTTACCACAGATACTCATTTAAAACAATTTACTTGTTGATTTTATTTGTTCCTACAACAATATATAGACCAGTAAGTGTGTCTAATCCTTTATTTTATAGCCCAGACACATGCACTGT